GGTTTTAAAAGAATTGGTTCGAAGGAGTTGTCACTGATATTTTGCACAAAATATCAGAAAAAGAAAATAATTTTTGAAAATTCGACTTTAGCCTTTACAGCCAGAGCTGGGTTCGGGGTCAATTACGTGTGAGGAATGTGTTAGGCAACCTACAATGCTTGAACTTGGTACCCTATGACAATTTTAGTATTATAACAGCGTAATTAAATTTTTGTCCCTATTTATTAAGCATACATAGCAATTTATGTCTACATTACTCCTAATCTATATATTGTAGACATATTACTTTATTATCTACATGATGTTTATTCTATTGCAAACAAGAAAAGTGATAAATAAAGCAATAAATAAGAGGGAAGAAATTGGAACCTCCGAAGCAAGATTATTTTTATATATCTTCTTGTAAAGTTGTACAGAAGCACTTTTTGGCAAACTCCGCACTCTACAAGACCTCATGGACGCTCAAAACTTTTAATTGAGGAAACTCCAAAATCTTTGCCAAAGGATCCATAGATCTCTTAATCAGGCACTGGTGAGTTTATTTCACTCAGAGTGACACTAAAGAAAGTCAAAGAAGGGGAGAGAATGTGTGTGTAAGAATGAGAGGGATGGCACGCATTTATAGGCATCCAGGGAAGGGGAACAATTGTTCCCAATTTGGAACGATCGTTCCACGCCTATAAATTGCACTAAAACGTGCCAAGTGGAACAGTCGTTCCAAGCCAAGCATATTATGAAGGGGGAATGGTCGTTCAGCCTTTAGGAACGGTTGTTCCAAGCTTAGGGTTAGGGTTTTGACCCCTTTTGATGCAGAAGAGTCTCTCAGATGTCCCATGCTCCGTCTCGGCGTGCTCTTGTGTCTTCCTTGGCTTCGGGGAGTTGCTTCTCTTGACTCAAAAGCTTCCTAACCCTTGCAAATAAAGCCTAGATAAAACCTGATGTCTACAACCACCACAATGGAGCCGACTTATCTTTTTATATATAAAGTGAAATAGTTCTCCCATCTACTTTTCTTGCTCAAAATTGTCACATTAAAAATCACAAAAATATATGTGTGCAAATTCTTCATGAACCAAAATATTCAATAACGTTTTCGCCTTCATGTGCACATTGCTCATTACTTTTTCTTAGAAATTATCACACTACATTAAATATCAATTTTTTTCAAAATAGTCACTTTGAAAGCCTATTCACTTCTCTGTGTCCATTACTACACATCCACTACTTGAATATCTATTCTTGTTCCTCTTTTTGATCATATATAAAGATATCAAAATAATTCAAAAAGAACAATTTTCTCAATTAACAAAAAATGAGATAAAAGAATGTCCTATTTGCAAGGTGACGCTTATAGAAGAATTCAAAAGAACAACTATGAAGACTAAAAGGTTTTTTTTTTTTTAAATCATGTAAATGTCTAGGATGTTGTCAAGTTAAGACATTATCCTTTTTATTTTGTTTCAACTAATACACTATGGTATTTTATGATCTCATTTTTAATCAATGATAAATTGAGTAAGATTTATGTTTCTTTTATAAATGATGAAAGTACTATAATGGTTTTGAAAACCAAAATCATTTCAATGTGTAATTATTTTTACACATCTTTTGATTATCAGTATATTTTCAATTTATCATAAACAAGTTCGTGTGTTTTTTTTATGAAAATATTAAGACTTGACATTTTAATAAATTCAATCACACTTTTATATTTAATTTCTTTCAATATGTCACATTAGTCTCCTATTTGATTTTCAATGTATTTACTTTTACTTTTCCTATATAGCATATAATTGTGGATAAATATTTAATTACTTTAAATTATGTACGAGAATTTTATTGAGCAAAAAATATTTAATTTTCCAACTCAATGTTATTGGACTTAATTTAAGTTAAATTATCAATATTTTAAAGAATTTTAAATATTGGTTGTGATTCAATTTCTAAGTTAAACTTAATAATAATAAAAAAATACACTTCGCTCTGTCAAATTGACACGAATATTTGAAGATTTTGGTTAATAAGAATAAAAATAAATAAAGAATTAAGTATAAAAAATACTATGATTAAATATATATAAAAAAAAATCAAATAAAGAACACATGAAAAAAAAGTAGGCTAAAAAAAGAAAAAATAGGAAGACAGAAAATATTGAAAATAATTATAAAAATAAATTAAATGTGATTTAAAAATGTGCATATGGAGAAGTAAAAAATTTCAAATTCAAAACTATTCTAATAAATAGAGTATAATATATTTATTTAATTTTTTATTAATTATTTTCTTATGTGATCCTTTAATTTATTTAAAGGATATTACTATTAAAGATCATTTTGAGTGTATCTTATTTATATCATTTACAATTACATGTTTACTCATTTTTAAATACTTTTATAATTAAGTTATTATCCTCTATATAAACTGTATGCATTGATGTGAATATTGATGATGTAACATTTATTGATGGAAAACATAATTATCTTTTTATATTCTATATCATCATTCACCATGTAATGCTATTACACTTCTAATGTATTTAAGCTGCAATGTAGTGAAATGGAGCTAATTTTGGTTGGGAATACCTCCCTCTTTATACTCTAATACTTATATAAAATCCTTTTATACTATTAATTAACATTGTTAGAATTAATATAATATTGAAAATGAAGATAAATAATGTGGTTGTGATGCAGTACTTCTGACTTTGTATAAATAATACATTATTGTATTATATTATACGATTTTTTCTTTCAGAATATATTTAAAATTATAATCTTTAATATAATTATATATTAAGAATTTAATAAATTGAAAAATAAAATAATCCTTTACACAGTTACGTATCTAGTTAAGAAAGTTTTAAAAACTTCATAGAATGAGGCGTTGTTGTGGTTGGTAAGGACAGGGTTGAACTTGAAGGGGCGAGCCAAATCCCAAATTTCTTCTCATTCAGTGGTGTTGTGGTAATAGGTCTTAGAACCATGGAGGGGAAGGAGAAAGAAAAAAAGAAGAAAAGAAAAAATTGTGTAAATGATGCAGCGTGAGTCCATTTATAAGTGTTGCATCCTAGAATTGGTCTCCAATAAATTGTATCTTTTTTATTTTCTATTGGGTTATAAAATATTTAAATAATAGTATTAAATAATTAACATGTATAATATATAATATAATTATTTATTTTATAGAACTAATAATAAACTAATAGAAAAAAAAAAACACTTTGTACTTTCATGTACTTTATTTAAATTAAAAAAAAAAAGGAAAGTTAAGATAAGAGAGGTGATTAATTTTAGAGATCGAATCTTGATTCATATGAATGCAAAAAAAAACAAAAAAACAAAAAAAAACAAAATCAAATTGAGAAAAAATATTCACTTATTTTGTGTTTGTCAAACTTGCAAAGGAAATTAATCCATATATTCGATAAAGAGAAACTCCTTGATAATAAAAAAAAAAGTAATTAATTATAACTAGCTTTTTAACTTATACTATAAACAAACTAAATATCTATTATATGTAATTAAATTTTATAATAAATTATATATATAAATAAATATTATATTTAAATATATAAACTATATTAAAAATTTATATAAATATATACTTTTAAATATATAAATTATATTTTAGATTCATGGTAAATAATTTATATTGTACACAATATTATTTTTATTTATTAATAATATTTTAAAAATATTAAAATTTAATT